GTCACAATTCCTGATTTTGAAACTTATTGCAAAAAGGCAGTAATCAAGGCAATGTGGGTCTGGCATAAGGACAGACATACAGGTTAATGAAATAGAATTGAGAGTCCATAAATAAATCTTCACTTTTGACAACAGGGGCAAGGCAATTCAATGAAGGAAAGAGCAGTCTTTCAACAGATTGTGTGGGACAAATGGGTATCTGCAAGCAAAAGAATGAAGTCGAACCCTTTCATCACATTTTACATAAAAATTCACTCAAAACTGGTCATAGATCTAAATATAAGAGCTAGGACTATAAGATTCTTAGAAGAAAGTAGAAGGAGTACAATTTTGTGACATTGGGTTAGGCAAGGGCTTCTTAGATATCACACCCAAAGCATGGGTAACAGAAAAAAAAGATACATAATACTGAACTTCATCAAAATGAAAAACTTTTGTGCAGAAGACACCATCAAGAAAATAAAAAATCCTCACAGAATGGGAGAAAATATTTGCAATTATATTTCTGATAAAGGATTTGCATCCAGAATATAAAAAGAACTCCTGTTAACTCAACAAGAAAAAGATGACTCAATTGGAAAAAGGGCAATTAATCTGAATAGACATTTTGCCAAAGAAAATCAACAAATGGCCAATAAGTATATGGAAAGTTGCCGGAGATTATTAGCCATTAGGGAAACGCAAATTAGAACCACAATGAGACACAACTTCACATCCACTAGGATAACTATAATAAAAAAACCAGATGACAAATGTTGCTGAGGATGCAGAGAAACCGGAAGCTTCATATGTTGCTGGGAGTGTAAAACGTTGCAGCCACTGTGGAAAACAATGTTTCTCATTGTTTCTCAATGAGGTTAAACAGTTTCTCAAAAGGTTAAGCAGTTTCTCAAAAGGTTAAACACAGTGTCACTATATGACCCACCAACTCCATTCCTAGGTATATAACCAAGAGAAGTAAAACATATGCCCACGCAAAAACCTGTACACAAATGTTAAGAGCAGCATTATTTATAATAGCTAAAAAATAGAGCAATCCAATTGTCCATCAACTGATGAAGAGATAACTAACATATCGTTTAGCAATAAAAAGAAACCAAGTACTGATGCCTGCTACAACATGGATGAACCTAGAAAATACCATGTTAAGAAAAGAAGCCTGTCACAAGAGACCACATACTATATAATTATATTCCTATGGAATGTCCAGATAGGCAAATCTATTGTGACACCAAGTGGATTAGTGGCTGCAGAGGAAAAGGGATTGATGGGAAATGGGTACAATGTTCCTTTTTGGGATGATAAAAATGTTCTAAAATTGACTGTGGTAATGCCTGTACAATTCTGCGAATATAGGAAAAACCATTTGAGCATACACTTTAAGTGGGTGCACTATATGATATATGAATTATATCTCACAGCTGTTAGAAAAGAAACAGAAGTTTTGGAAGGCAAAAAAAAAAAAAGAAAAAGAAAAAAGAAATATATGTGGTAAAAGGGTGAAGAAAGGCCCAGGAATGGTTAACACGCAGTTCTACATAGTTACCACCTTTGATTAGTTGTGCGTTGAAAGCATACAAGTGAGCTTCAGAGACACTGACAATTCTGGAGCCTGAGAACATATGTATTTTATTATTATGATTATCACTATGATTCTTAAATCAGCTTTGTTATATACAACAAATTTAATTTTAAAAAGATGAAAAATTTCAAAGGAAAAGAAATTTAAAACTAAAATGAAAAAATACAAACAAAAAATCAAATCCTAGAGCACCATAAGCCATACCATATTAAAACTAACTTCAGGTAATGATTTTTTTGTGTGTGAGGAAGATTGGCCCTGAACTAACACCTGTTGCCAATCTTCCTCTTTTTTGCTTGGGGAAGATTGTTGCTGAGCTAACATCTGCGCCAATCTTCCTCTATTTTATGTGGGATGCCGCCACAGTGTGGCTTGATGAGCAGTGCTAGGTCCCTGCCCGGGATCAGAACGTGTGAACCCCAGGCCGCCGAAGTGGAGTGTGCAAACTTGACCACTACTCCACCAGGCCAGCCCCCAAGGTAATGATTTTGCAGGGCAGAAGCTGCAAGCTCAAGCGTTAGAGGGGGGTTGTGGATGAGAATGGGACTGCTTTATCCCATAGACCCTTGAAGAGACTTGGGACTCTGAAGCAAGAAGCTAAAAATTGGTGCGGCGGGGATAATTATGCACCTGGAGCAGGTTAATCCATATCTCCTCCTCCTTTTCTCTTGATTAGAGAATACTCTCAGCAAGGGAATATCTGAAGACTTTTCTCTGGAGAAATCTAACAGCTCCAAAAAAGAAAAAAACCTTCTTATACCACCATTTTGGGCTCCCCCAACAAAACAGCTGACTTCTTGACCATCTCATAAAATAAAGCTCAGCCAGTTGCCTAGACTTGCCCAAGCACACAGAATACTGTGTACACAGAGCTTCCAACCAGTTTTAACATTTTACTTTCAAGTATGGATGTACAACCGAGGACCAGTACATAAAAGAAAAAAAATTCTCCAGTGTAAAAAAGAAAACATACATAGATATACCACAAACAGAAAAAGTAATCCAGAGGAAAGCAGAGATAGTCTACTGAAAACAAACAAACCCAAACAAACAAAAATAAAATAAAACAAACAAAAGACCCCAAAAGAAAAATCAGGTCATGAATGAAAGAACAAGAATTAGAATGGCATTGGACTTAACAGAATTGGATTCAAAAGTAACATCTTTTGAGTTTTACAACCTAGAATTTCTATTCTCAGCTAAATAAAATTAATCAAATACAAGGTAGGAAATATACATCTTATAGAGAGTGCATAGTCCTCACTAAAGCAGGAAGACAGGGTTCTGAGACAGATCGCTAAGGAAAAAAATGACTTACTGGATAAGTGAGTCTTTGGTTTAAAATAAATTATACACATATACACATAAAATCAAGGTAAGGAGGGGAAGGAAGAAAGAACTCTGCCAATTGCTGTGTTGAGGGAGAGGGAGAGGTCGTTCAAGAGAGCAAAACTAGGGGGCCAGCTCCAAGGCTAAGTGGTTAAGTTCACGTGCTCTGCTTCAGTGGCCCGGGGTTCGCCGGTTTGGATCCTGGGCACAGACCTACGCATCACTCATCAAGTCATGCTGTGGTGGCATGCCAGACAGAACTAGAACGACCTATGACTAGGATATACAACTATGTACTGTGGCTTTGGGGGGGGCGCGAAAGAGGAATGTTGGCAACAGACGTCAACTCAGGGCCAATCTTCCTCACCAAAAAGCATACTTTAAAATAAACAAAAAAGAAAGCAAAACTGAATTAAGTGAAACTAGAGCTATCTTTATATTTGGAGGATAGTCAGGAAGTCAATAGATTAAGACCTATATTGGATAAAGCAAGAAATAGCAGAGTGAAGACATCATTAAGAATATGGAATACTACTAAAAGAAATAGCAAAAGGAATGAAAAGCGACTGCTTCTGGTAAGTAGGCCAGAGGTGGGGTAGGGGAAGACAGGAGGTTATTTTTTCCATTATATATCTTCAAGAACTACTTGATTCAAATACTGTACCTCTATAAATTTGATACAAATGTAAAATAAAATACTTGGATCATAGTGAAGTTTTTATTTTGTTAACTACTCAACCAGGATGTGACTGAATTGAGTGATTTAAAGTGCCTACAATGGAATCCAAAGCCTTACCGTGAAGGGATTACAAACAGCACATGGGGACAATGAGGAGGTCATTCTCTCAACCAACCCCCAAGAATTTTAGCGCTAAGATGACCCATGGAGAATTAAACCTCAAAACACACTGGATGGAAGCAGAGACACTCTAAAATTCATCTAAAAGAGATGGAATGACGTGAGGCTAAGGTTTGACTCAGAACAGCTTAAGCACGTTAATATACCTAAAGAAATACTGTGTGAATCAAAACAGGGCTTGGTCAGCATTAGCGACAGAGAAAGGGGAGTTGTGAAGGCAACACCGGTTTGTCCCCTGCATTGTTGAGCAGGGAGAGCACGTATGTGCCCACAGGTAAAGACTCATAGGTCTCCAAAATAAAGAGAAATGTATATTAGTCCTTGTAATAATTCAGTGATATCATCTAACTCCTTGATCTAATTTCATTCTCATCAAGCATCCTTCTGATATCATTAACTTTCCGTGTAAATATGTAAATAGGGAAAGAATGCAAAGATCATCAAATGAGTGTTTGGTTCACTTGATGGTTACATCTCCCATCAGTATTATTTTACTTTCTATACCAATCTTTGGGACCTTAATTAATGCTGCCTGCTCTGGATGATGAATTGCTCTCGATGTGCTATCAAAAACCAGGTTTATGGGTCACTCCAGTGGCCTAGTGGTTAAGTTCAGCACACTCCACTTAGGTGGTCCAGGTTCGGTTCCCAAGTGTGGACCTACACCACTCTGTTAGCGGCCATGCTGTGCTGGCGGCCCACATACTAAAAAATAGAGGAAGATTGGCATGGATGTTACTTCAGCGCTAATCTTCCTCAGGGGAGGGAAAAAAAAAAGAAAAGAAAAAAATCAGGTTTATAAACTTGCAGGACTGAGAGCTACAAGCTGATCACATAAATTCACAAAAGGATTGTGACACTGGGAGTGTCTGAGGATCCAGCAGGTTTCTCCCTTTTCTTTATGCTAAAATCTGTGAAAAATACTTTTCAGATAGACATCAGTTGAACAAGAAAATACAAAGTCAATGACGATTTTGCCACAACTCTTAATCTTTGCACTTAACTAACATTTCCGGACTGAAGAGTTTGGAGAAGCGACTGCCACGAGGCAGCAAGCCCACAGGGCTACAGCACTATTTCAAGACAGTGTGGAGCCACTGAGCTTTTCAGTATCTTCTTGTTCGTTTTCACTTGCATAATCAAATATTATTTGGGGATAAAAATAATAATAATCTGCCACTGCCACCCCCCTCATGCTTTCCTGTCAAATAAAAAGCAAAGAAAACTTACATGGCACTGTAGTTCCAAATCTAGTGGGATTCAACACTATGAACCTGTTTTTCAAGCTTCTTCGTCCCACACCTTGAGCTCCTATCAACACTAACGTCTTTCTCTGGAAGGGAGGCATTTTGGCTACCTCCTCATATATCTGGATTTCATGACGATCAAATTCTAAATGTAAAAGGAAATAAAACATAACATCCAGTTATCTTTTATATGGATGAAAAACCTCTGCCATTCTGTTCAGTAATGGTTTGTCTTGATAGTTAAATATCACTTGAATTGTACTCAGTACAGTTTTGTTTTTATAAATTTGGTAAAGTACAATATTTTATATCTTGATTTAAACATCTGCTTCCACCCATTCACCCTCAAAAATTTGCCTAACCAAGTTAGAAAAATGCCTATGCTTTATCCTTATCGGACATTCTATCCATTAAAACTTCTTTCTTACCAACTCATCAGAAACAATTCCTTTAATATAAATAATCAAATTTAAAATTAGTTTATTTAGGGGCCGGCTCCGCGGCCGAGTGGTTAAGTTCGCGCGCTCTGCTGCGGCGGCCCAGGGTTTGGATCCTGGGCGCAGACACGGCACCACTCGTCAGGCCACGTTGAGGCGGCGTCCCACATCCCACAACTAGAAGGACCTGCAACTAAGATATACAACTATGTACGGGGGGGTTTGGGAAATAAAGCAGAAAAAAAATTAGTTTATTTAATTTATTCAGCTAAAAAGTGTATACCAAATTTGAAGGACAGCAGTACACCTGGTCTGGCTGCTTAAATAAGTTCCACAGAATGAGTATGCCCTTCCAACACTCTAAATGAATAAATATTATGCGGTGACTCTGCACATCAGTTGGATTAATAAAGTGCAAACAGACAACATACTGACATTTAAATATTAAGATTCTGAATTTATGTATAAAATAAAATGTTAGATCCAAACTATTTCAAGCAAAAACACATTCAAAATTATAATCTTAGTCAATGGGAAAACTATAAATTTTCCATTTCACAAGAAAGCTTTAAGGAATAATATAGTTAATGGATAATTAGGTCAAAGTGGATTTGAAATATTACATTACCTGTTATTATGGTTACAACTCTCAATCTGTAGTAATAACACTTCTTCCTTAGGTTATTATCTTAGCAATTCTTTCTTTGCACAATTTCTCCACAGTAGATTAAACCAATATTAAGGGAGAGTCTATTTTCCCCTTATCGTTATTATATTATTATAATATATTATTGTACTATTTCCTGTATAGTGTGCTTTTTAGCTTATTACCAGTATAGCAGGAGCTCTGAAATCAAGAAAGTGCTTTAAAATGGTCACTTCCTTTGAGTGAGCCCCAGAGCCTGCTGATTCAGAGCGCTGCGTTCCACTCCTATCAGCCTCTAACTGAAGAGAGTAACTACGGCAGTTGTCATATTTATCTTCCTTAAGTCTAAAAGATTTAAGAAAGAATCCTCCTAGATCAGACTAAGATTTATTTGGTCCAGTACTATTTTTCCAAAAGTATCATGGACAATGTTATGGCAGAATACAGTTGCCCTTAATCATAACTCTTTTATTATCTTCCGAAAGGCATTTTGTTCTTTAGAAATGACACATAAATTCCTATCAAAGTTCTCTGAACAGACAGTTTCAATTAGAACATTGTTCCTTCATTAATACAAGCATAAATCCCAACCAATTCATTTTATTGTAAACTATACTCAGAAAATAAAGCACAATGGTGATAGTATAAGCATTTACAAAGCCAGGTTTAAATGACGTCTTCATATTATATTGTACCATGTGTTCACATGTCAGCCCTTTCCAATTAGGCACTAATCTGAATTACATTCATGTAAAATTATACATTTAGAGTTTATGCCACATTGATTAACGATTAAAGCTATTTCACTTGGATTTCTCAGAAAGTATTTAAAACATACCTGCATTTCTGGTTGTGAGATACATCATCTTTTTCTTTTTTTTGCTACTTATGGTTCCACAAAAAGGTCCTGAAGGATGACAAGACAAATATAACTTAAACTGTATGTCAGAATATGATAAAGTTACCCTGTGGTATTCTACAGGGGTGGGAGAATTATCTTCCCAGTGTTGCATCCTACAAAGCAGAAGGGGGCAGGGGTGAGTTGAGCCACTGAATTCTGATACTATACCAGCAGGTGGCAGAAAGGGATCAAAAAGTTTACTTTTGAGAGAGATACAATAAAGCAGATGGGAGGGATTGATTCTAGATATATTTTAAGTAAATTCATTTGCTAATTCAGATGAAAGAGGCACAGAAAGGTGGCCACAAAGGACTACTTGTTACTTATTGTGTTGAGCTCATCACCTGAATTGTCCCAGTCTCTTCTAACAAATGCCTTTCTCTTCTCTTCCAGGAACTGGCTTGGAATGAGACCAGCGCTTCCTCCCTCTTTTACATGGCTAGCCTAGAATCAAATTAATGAATTGTATATCTCAGTGACCAAAATTTGAGACCATATTCTAATAAGTAGGACAAGCAGTAGTCAGTTAAAAAAAAAAAAAAAAAGAAAGAAAAAGAAAATCACATTTGCTCTTAAAAACTGACCTTGAGACTTAAATCCATGGCACTGTCAGTGAAGATATTTAAACGCTTTAGTACTGAGGAATCAACTGGCACCTAATCAATCCGCCATCTGGTAGTGAAAATTTGGGACCATAATACAAAGGTATACAGCCTCTTTAAATTACTAAAATTTTTTATTTATACTAAGTTACTCAAATTCTATTCTGTGTGTTACCAGGATATTTCATATGGCACCCTTTGGTAAGGTATTTACCATCAACCGTAATCCTACTACGTTGGTAATTCCTGAGGCCAAATCAATGAAAAACGACAATATTGGGAAAAAAGTGGACAGTTTAATTCATGCTACCAGGTATCCTGAGAGGTAGTAAGTTTAAGATAAGGTAAAACTTTACCTGCTGTCAAGAAACTAACTTTTAAAATAAAATCCAAAGAAGCACTATCTTAAGATAGTGGCTGGAGAACCGGCGGCTAGCAGTTCATTCCACAAGGTTAGTGACTTTATCCTTACAACCAGCATAGAAAAATCTGGCACCGTTTTTAGCAATTAAAATCTTGAAAAATAGAATTAAAATGCAGGAAGAGATTGAGATAATGGTGGTAGGATTAGAAGAGAAAACTGAGATGGCACTCACAGAAAGGGGAAAACAGAAAATTGGAAAAGCTCAAAAAAGGAACAGTCACAGAAAGTAGATTTTTTTAGATGAGAGTTCTAAGAAATTCAGTAGAAACATCTTGAAATCATGGATTCTGTTTAATTTACTTATTTCTTAGTTCTCTCACCACATAGTGCACTTGTACCTAACAATGTCTTAATTTAAGGACACACTAGTAAGATTGTTCTCATCCTCCTAATTCATTACCCTTGGAAGTCTTTGAGAGTTCATGTGAGTGTCTCATATCTCAGTTTAATTTAGAGTTTAGTGCTAGGTCCTGGGTCCTTTGCTCTCACACCTTGTTCTTTAATGAGACTCTCATTTACTCTGTCAGTTTAAGGAATTTTAGACTTTCTAATTTGTCAGTTTCTCCAGTTCTGGATACTGTGGTTGCTAACCGATGTCAACAATTACAAAAACAGACTTATTAGTGCTGTTGGAGATTTCTGAAAGCTGTTATCAGGGGAAAGGAAAAAGAACACCACCACACGGATCTTCCAGAAAATGGAGGGGGGTGGAAAACACAGTGATAACACACACCCGTTTCCATATACACAGATTTCAACCCAAGACAAACACTGATGATAAAGCAAACATTCATTTCTCAGAAACTGAGAAGACATGGGCAAATAGATTTAAGAGCTTAAGAAATTATGTTCTATTTGTCGTGAATGTATACAGAGGGAGAGGAGGCAAGAGAGAGACTACCATAACCATAGTAAAAGATTCCTAGTTAAAACAAACAAAAACATTGCAAAGGGATGATCTCAAGTAGGTTCTTCTTGCCCAATACCATATTTTACCGTAATCGCCCATGTGAAAGAACCAATTGATCTAATCCCTAAACCAATGGGATAGCACCACAGGCTAGTTAATTCTGCATTTATTAACAACTACTCACAAATTCCCTCTCAATTTGGTCTTCTGTCCACAAAATTAGCAGCCATGAAGCAGGAGCTGTTCATGCAGGAAAAACCATTGGAACAAATGCTAATACCTTCTTCCTGAATATTCAGATATTGGCCAGATCTAAGATTGAAAATAAAAAAGCAGTTGAGGAAATATTGAAAAGCATACTAACCTGCCACCAGTTTGGATCTTCTCTGTTTACAATCTGAAGAATTTCTCCTTTTGAAAATTTCAGTCCTGCTTCTTTGCAGGGTATCAGGTTATCATTGTAGGGATTATAATCAAAATGACATTTCACAAATACCTAAAACACACAGCACAATTAAAAACACTACAGATGTATCATTTCTCACTGGATTTTTGAAATCTTTTTGAAACCACTGTAATTTAGTTGTAATTGACAATATATTTAGTACTTCAACTAAGGAACTTGTCTGTCTCAAAAATGAAATTATTGGAACAGTAATAATTTGGTATCAGAAAAGAAATAAACATTACTACTACATTAAAATTTCGTTTCTATTTTAACTTCTAATCTTAAACCAACAAAAAGTTTGACAATCATTTTATCTCACCATTCTTACAATTCCCCCAATCTTTTCACAAGATTTTCCAACCAACACTGCATAATTTTTATGCAAGTAAATGCTACTTTCTAATTAAAATCCTGAAACAATATATGTAGTTGATTTAAGGCATACAGTTCAGATATATTAGGACTGACCTTTTGAAAGGGCCCTGAAACCAAAATTAAATAATAAAAGTTCATGTTGAAGTCAGACCTGAAATATATTTAGTAACCTTAAAAAAAAAATTTAAAAACCCAATTTTCATCACTCGTAATAATATTGTTTTAATCACATAGATTTACACTGGCCAAAACTAGGTGGAAAATACTCTTTTGGAGTCATCTTGTTCTGATTTAAATGATCAGCATTAAATTAATTGTAAGACAAATACTGAAAGCTTGAAACTATTTTCCAATTTAAATTCATTTAACTATACAAATTTCTTTTAAATCTGTGTTATTACTAAAAGTATGTCAGTTACCACTGTTAGTTATGATCTCCAATATCTGGAATATTTTGCTTATTTACTTTAATTTGAATTCTAATTAAGTTAAGCATTTTCAGCATTTGATGCCAAGTTCAGACTGATTACTTTCTTAAAACTTTTTCCACGTATATTTTTAGAAACATTTTATCTTCTAAAGAATTGACTTAGCATTAATCAGCAGGTAAACTTTAACAAGCAGGAAAGCACATGATTAGTCAAAATAACAATGTTAGTTTTTCTATTCATTTATCATACTTCTATAAATATAAACCAAACAAGATATCCAAATAACACAAGTAGACACATTATATTATTAGGGTGGTAAAATGTAATGTAATGGATGCATATTAAAATAATTTAGAGACAACTAAATTTGTAACATATGACAAAATTTTAGTTATTTACAGTTAGAGGATTTTGATAGAAAGCATTCAGAACATTTTCAATAACTTTGGAAAGGCTAAATATTAATGCTTAAAAAAAAATCAGTAAGCCAATAATTCTTTCCTGATAAACAATTTTAGAATTATCTAAAAAGCAAGCATACAAACAATATTAAGATTGCTAAAATGTGACAACTGGCTAACTTGACAACGGCATGCAGCGTTTTTGACAATGGAAAAAACCGAAAATGATTAAGTTTGAGGTAAATTTAGTTGGCTGATAAGATAGAAAAACGGAGTACCAGAGAATGTCCTGAAATGACATCATACCTGACGGGCGTGTGCTGGATGCCTCTCCATACTGATGCAACTCTAAAAATATATTTTTCATTGCATAAATAAAGCCAGACTTTAAACTGATAATAAATTAACAAAATATAAACAAATCTATTGGCCCATTTTATTATTTCACTCATTTGGTAAAGCAACTACTTCCCTAATTAATTGTCCATAGGGTCTAATACCTGAAAAGTGTAAGTGACAGAAGCAAAAAGTTAGAGGTGTTTGAGATGAGGCAGAGAAAAAGGATGGGCATGCAAAGGTGTAAAAATACTTGGATACTCCTTGCTTCTCAAGAAAGCTGCACTGAATGAATAGTAAGAGCAGCCTATCATCTAACCAGGAACGTGTTTATCATTCTTATCTGTGGCACAGAATGTATTTGGACTTTTCAAGTTAGTCCAAATTTCAAATATTCCTTCCCCTACTCCCATCAGATTGTTCTGGAAATGTCATTATTTGTGGAACAAACTACATCTCTCAAAAGTAAAAGATTTCTAGAAGGAACAATTCTTATTTTTTCATTATCAAATTAATTTCGGAACATTACTCTTTTGCTCAAAAATTCAGATTAAACTGGTTTTACCTTGAACTTTGAAAATTTGTCTGAAAACAACCTTTGATTTAAACATCTTGTAATGATCTAAAAATTATTAGAGATTTGACTAAATCTAGTAAAATTATATTAACTGCATATAAAGTGTTTCACTAACAGGCTATGGATGTTAACTGTTCATGTTACTAAGAAATTACTACACACGGCCTACTAAAATATTTCAATCTCGTATTCATATCACTAAAAGAAAGAACTCAATGACCAACACTCTAAAGTAGATGGGAGAGAAAAGGAATACAAATGGCTTTTAAACACAGGAAGAGATGTTCAACCTCATTCAGGTAGAAATACAAATTAAAACTATGTTATAAGGGGCTGGCTCCGTGGCCAAGTGGTTAAGTTCGCACACTCCACTGCGGCAGCCCAGGGTTCGGATCCTGGGCACGGACATGGCACCGCTCGTCAGGCCATGTTGAGGCGGCGTCCCTCATCCCACAACTAGAAGGACCTGCAACTAAGATATACAACTATGTATGGAGGGTTTGGGAAGATAAAGCAGGAAAAAAAAAAAAAGAAGATTGGCAACAGTTGTTAGCTCAGATGCCAATCTTTAAAAAAAAAAAAAAAAGAACTTCTATCTCCTAGGGGTATATATTTAAAAAAAAAAAAAAAAACAAAAAACAAAGTATGTTACAAAAACATTTTCTTCCTGTTGGATTAGCAGAAATCCAAACATTTGACAACATTCTGTAGACAGGACTATGGGACAACGGGCATTTTCCTAACCGGTTGGTGGAAGAATTGGTTCAATCCCTTGGGAGGACAATTTGGCAGAGCCCTCAAAATTATGAATGCAAAAACCCTCTGACCTAGCAATCCACCTCTGGGAACGTACACAACAACAGTGTTACTCAGACATACGCAAAACGACTTCTGCTGAAGACTGTCAACTACTGAATTCTTCCTAGTCACAAAAGATTGTAAGCAACCTAACTGTTTAACCATAGGGAACTGGTTAAACAAATGATAGTAAACCTATAATATAACACCTTCCAGCTGTCAAAAACAAATGGGGGTGGGTGGGAAATGTGTGCCAAGAGGCAGTCTATGTATCAATAAGGAAAGATCCTCAAGATTCATGGTTAAGTGTAAAAACCAAGGAACCAAGGTTCAGAATAGTGTCTATACTATGTAACCTCTTCATAAAAAAGGAGGTAGAAGGGGAATAAGAAGATATAGTTTTTACTTGGATATGAATAAAGAAACTCTGGAGACATGAACTAATAGCATGGTTTCTTATGGGGCAGTGAGGACTACACTGACAGTGGATTAGGAGGGAGATTTCAACTGAATATATATTTTTATTTCTCGAATTTTGAACCATGGGAATGATTCACCTATTCAAAAATTAAATTCTTATAGTAATAAAAGTAAAGATAAAATGATTCCCACTTCTGGCTGAGATGAAGTAACAAGGACCCTCCAACCTGAAACAACTAAAATACTGAACAAAATATATGGAACATTTTTCAAGTCCTCAGACAATGAAAACAGTGATCCCTAAAAAAAAAAAGGAAACAAATAAAATAAGCTATACAATTCCCCCAGCTAACTGTACAGAGAAACCTTCCAGGTCACAACTCAGGAAAGGAGAACCTAGGTAGAGCCTGGTGGTCTCCAAGACGAGGAGATGAACTGGGAGACCAGGGAGGCCAAGGTTCTGTGCACAGAACAGAGTAATCACTGAGGAGAGGGGTGCACAGAGAAACTGCTCAAGAACTGCAAAGGACTCCCTCCAGTCTTCAGTTGAGCACTGATCAACTGAAGACTGCCTGTGTATGAGGACACTACCTAAGGTCAGGTAAAGAGCCAGCATTATAGGGAGCAATATCAGGAGGTCATACAGGGCCAGGGATGGTTACTGTTCTCATCAGGGTGAGTTGAAAAACCTCCTAATTCATGAGGCATTGAGTATTCAGAAGGGTTATGCTGTAGACTTAATCCTGCTCTGGTCCCCCTAACAAAGCTTACATCGCAAGATCTGATAGGATCAAATTGCTCCCAAGTAACTTAAGTATCCTAGAACAAAGCTTAAGTATATTTCTAAGAACACAAAAATATCCAGCACTCAATAAGGTAAAATTCATGATGGCTGGCAGCCAATGAAAAACAACCAGGCACGGGGGGCTGGCCTGGTGGCGTAGTGGTTAAGTTCGTGTACTTCACTCTGGTGGCCTGGGGTCCAGATGCCAGGTGCGGACCTATGCACTGCTCATCAAGCCATGCTGTGGTGGCATCCCATATAAAAAATAGAGGAAGACTGGCACAGATATTAGCTCAGGGTGAATCTTCCTCAGTAAAAAAATAAAAAACATGCCAGGCATGCAAATAAGTAGGAAAATATAACCTAAAATGTGAAGAAAAATCAATTAAGAGTGATCCAGAAATGACAAATATGATTGAATTAGTAGACAAGGACATTAAAACATTAGTTTTAACTTTACACATTGTACTCATATGTTCAAGAAGCTAAAGGAAGGACTGGGCATGTTAGGTAGAAACAAAGCAGATATAAAAAAGAATCAATTCCAATTTCTAGAGATGAAAACCAAAATATATGAGATGAAAAGCACACCAGATGTGATTAACAACAGATTAGACACTGCAGAAGAAAATATTAGTAAACTTGAAGACATAGCAATAGAAATTATCCAACATGAAAAACTGGGAGAAAACAAGACTGAAATAAAAGAGCAGAGTATCAGGGCCGGCCCCGTGGCCGAGTGGTTAAGTTCGCGTGCTCCGCTGCAGGCGGCCCAGTGTTTCGTTGGTTCGAATCCTGGGCGCGGACATGGCACTGCTCATCAGACCACGCTGAGGCAGCGTCCCACATGCCACAACTAGAAGGACCCACAACGAAGAATATGCAACTATGTACCGGGCGGCTTTGGGGAGAAAAAGGAAAAATAAAATCTTAAAAAAAAAAAAAAAGAGCAGAGTATCAATGAGCTATGGGACAACTTCAAGGAGCCTAATATACATGTAACTGGTGTCACAAAGGACAGGAGAAACAGGAATAGAAAAAATATTTCAAGAAATAACAGTAAAAAATTCTCCAAATATGAAGAAAGAGATGGTCTTTCAACAAATGGACTTGGGAAAACAGGATATCCACATGCAACACCCTCTCCTTTGGCCCATATCTTACATGTTATATAAAAACTCATAAATGGATCACAGAGCAAAAAGAAAAAAACGGACAAACTGGACTTCATCAAAATTAAGAACTTCTGTTTTTTGTATTACAGTAAGAGAATGAAAAGACAAGCCTTTTCACTGGGAGAACATCTTTGTAAATCCTAATTCTGACAAAGCACTTATATCCTAAAGACATAAAGAACTGTCAAAACTAAATAATGAAAAAACAAACAACTCAATAAAAAATGGTAAAATTTGGGCTGGTCCAGTGTGTCAATGGTTAAGTTCATGTGTTCTGCTTTGGCAGCCCAGGGTTCACAGGTTCGGATCTTGGGCACAAACCTACACACTGCTCATGAAGTCATGCTGTGGCAGCATCTCATATACAAAGTAGATAAAGACTGGCACAGATGTTAGCTCAAGGACGATCTTCCTCAATCAAAAAGAGGAAGATTGGAAGATTGGCAACAAATGTTAGATCAGGGCCAATCCTCCTCAGACACAGACACACACACAAAAAGGATAAGATTTGAAGACATCACCAAAGTAGACATAAGCATGGCAAAGAAGCACATGAAAAGATGCTGAATGTTAGCAGTCATTAGGGAAACGAAAATTAAAATCATGATCAGATACCACTACACATCTATGAGAATGGCTAAAATTATAAAGACCGACCATGCCAAATGTTGGTGAAGATGTGAAGTAATCGAAACTCTTAGATAATGCTGCTGGGAAAGTAAATTGATATAACCACTTCTGAAAACAGTTTAGCCGTTTCTTTAAAAGTTCAACATATACCTACCATATGACCCAATCCTTCAATTCCTAGGTATTACCCAAGTGACTTATATGTAAAAGGCCACAGCATCTTTAGTTATAATAAATATTTATATTATATTATTAATAAAAATAATATCTTACAATATATTATTTATAATGGCCCAAAACTGGAAACAAAAATGTTTATCAGTTAATAGATAAACAAACTGTGGTACAGCCATGCAATGGAATACTACTCGTCAATAAAAAGGAATCACCTACTGATACATATAAAAACATGGACGAATCCCAAAATAATTATACTGAATGAAAGAAGCCAGATTAAAAAAACACAAAACAAAATCAAAGAAAAGATTCATGCTGTATGATTCTGTTTATATAAAAACATGGAAAATGTCGACTAATCTATAGTAACAGAAAGCAGTACAGTCATGTGCCGCATTTAATTATGTTTTTGTCAACAATGGGCCACATATATGACAGTGGTCTCACAGAT